CTTCTCATGTGCCTTTTCACCCACTCTAGACAATGCCATCCCCATCAAATCCTGGTTCAGTGACCCCAGCGATACCGCCCTTCTCAACCTGCTTCCGATGCTGGATGCCCTCAGGTAAGGGAAGCTAGACACTTAGATTTCTGAGGAGAGGAGTGGGTGGGGGATCCCAAGAAGGAATAAAAGTTTGTCCTGTTTTACTTACTTATCTCTTTTCCCTTAAGAATATTACTTTTGAACAAGGTCTTTTTAAAACTCATCACTTTTAGCCTTTGGGTTTTGGGCAGACTGAACCTGTCTCATGTGAAAACGGTGATCCTTTCCACCCCACGTCTTCCGTGAGGCTGCCTTACACTAGTGTGAGGATATCAACATAAGGACTCTACCAATGCAAGTTATTGTTGTCCCAGGTTCACCGCTGATGTTCGTTCTGTGCTGAGCCGAAACCTTCACCAACATAGGCTCTGGTGACAGCTGCTCCCCCTCCACCTGAGTTGGGGTGGAGGGGAAAGGGAGGGTGAGCCCTCGGGATGCCGTCTGGTGCCCTGTCCACTGGTGAGGACTGCCTGGGCAGGGTCTGCCCCTCCCACCCCTCTCTGCCCTGGGAGCCCTGCACTCCATATGGAGTCTGGATGGACACAAGGGCCAGATTCTCAAGCAGCCTCACTCTAACTTCGTGTTCGGACTCCCTGGAAACCCCAGACTGGGACATAAGTAGAGGCCTAGGAGAGCTGCAACAGTGTCTGGTGGAGAGACAGGACTGGCCAGAGTGGGAGACAGACATTCGGTAATCCGGGAGGCTCAAAGAGAAGCCAAGCCAGCTTTGTTGTGATTTGTTTTTTTAAAAACTCTTGTACAAAACTGATCTAATTCTTCACTCCAAGGGCTGGGTTGTGGGGGGGAAACTGGGATTTTGGGCCACTGGATTTTCCCCAAACTTGTCCCCTCCCTTACTATTTTCCCTTCTTCCTAGATTCCCTCAGACCTGTAACCAGCTTTCTCTCTTTTTTTTTCTTTCCTCTCTTTGAAACCATGCATTATAACTTTAAAACCAAGGCTGCCCTAGGTCCTTCTCTGGGGTTTTGGGAAATGAAGGGAGGGGTCTTTGTTCACACCCACCCTGTCCCCTAGGCAGAAGGAAAAGAGGCTGCTGTAGACCCGAGGGGTACGGGGAATGGTGGTGTTGGCTTTCCCAGGTGGGAAGGGACTTAGTGACAGGATGGGCGCCCTGCTGGGGAGTGAAAGGACAACTGTGTGTCCTGAGGAGACGTGAGCTTCAGTGCGGTAGGACGGAGAAATATGAAAGGAGAGAGCTGGGCGCCGGCAAAGCCCGCATTTCGTCTGGGGGGTTGACCTGAACAAGCTAAGCAGACGCTGCCCCTGAGCGGCATAGGGCGGGAGGCAGGGGTGCTCCACGCCACCGGCGGGCCGGCCGAGCACCGGGGCTCCACCTCCCCAGCGCTTTCCTCCCCGAAGCCTAAGCCGGCTCTACTTCCTCGCACCCGCCACGTGACGCCCCGCCCTTCTCCGAGATCACATGATTCTCGGGTACACACAGTGCAGTATTCTTCCGCGCTGACGTAGTCCTTACTTTTCGGACCTCCTCTCTAGTCCCTATTGGTCCACTCACCCTTGGAACCTAAGCGTTCCGTGCGTCTCTCCAAACATACGTTTCGTTTTTGCCCTCTATTTCCGGAGACCACTTCCTCCGCTTGGGTACTACTTTGTTTTGGTGTCAACGGCCGCCTTCAACGTACCAAGACGTTTCGTGAATAGCTCTCCGTGTAATTATCTGCTCTTTTTCCTGTACGTTATTTCCGAAAAGAACTTTTGGAGAGCCAAGTCTCAAATTACGGTTACCACCTTCCAGCCATTTTCATCGTTACCTTCCTGGGGGAAACTCGGGAAATGGGTTTTCAGTTATTTTCGACGATAGCAAAAGCCAACAATCTTTCCTACGCCGCCTGCGTAGCCTCCAAGTTGGTTCCAAAGCAATTGCGCTGACGGCGTGGGGGTGGCGGTCAGTAGGTGGTGCTACGCTAGTGGCGTTAGGGCCGTTGCGCTAGCGGCGTAACATAGCAGGCGGGGAGGCTCCTGCTGGTCGGGGGCGGGGTTGGTGAATAGGGAAGTGGCCCAAGTCCCGGGATCGCTCCGCCGAATCCGCCCGCGCGTCGCCGCCGTCGCCACCGCCCCCCGTCCCGGCCCCCCCCGGGTTCCCTCAGCCCAGCCCGGTCCAGCCCGGTTCCCGGGAGGATGAAGTTCGTGTATAAAGAGGAGCATCCGTTCGAGAAGCGCCGCTCTGAGGGCGAGAAGATCCGAAAGAAATACCCGGACCGGGTCCCGGTGAGGACAGTAGCCAGGGCCGAGGGCGCGGACCTTGAGTCTGGGACCCGCAGCGCGGGCCTCAGGCTGCCGGCTGTGGCGGGGTTGGGAACGAGCCCGAAACTGCTGTCTCTGGGACCGGAGGTGAAAGGAGTGGGGTAGCGGTAGAGCTGGGGTTGAGAGGATGTAGACGCGAGAGACAGACCTTGAGATTCATGTGGGAAGCTGTGGGGCGTTTGACAGTCTGAGTTTTACATGGGGTTTTTGAAATTGAAGCTGTAGTCGGCCCAGACACGTCATCCCCTTATGATTAAAATAACGGTTTGTTATGACGCCCTGTTTAGGGATCCTGGATGTTTAGGTGAATTTGAGTCAGTGGGGTCAGAATCCCTACTCAGGGCTGCGCCGCGTGTTCAGAGACAAAGAGAAATGAGTCTGGGGTAGGTGTGGATGCTAGGAATGTTGTTGTTTGAGTTCTTGACAGGTGGAGCTGTCGGGCTATATACCTAATGTCTCCTAATTTTCACCTTCTCTTTAACAGGTGATAGTAGAAAAGGCTCCCAAAGCTCGGATAGGAGACCTGGACAAAAAGAAATATCTGGTGCCTTCTGATCTTACAGGTGGGAATCTGACCCAATACCCGGGTTTGCTTCCTGGGGGTGGGAGCGCAGTCTCTGTGGGAGGAGGCTCCACATAGAAGGTGTTCTTTGGAGGGCATTTGTGATCTCTGACTTTATCAGGCCTTGTGTCTTTGGCAGTTGGTCAGTTCTACTTCTTGATCCGGAAGCGAATTCATCTCCGAGCTGAGGATGCCTTGTTTTTCTTTGTCAACAATGTCATTCCACCCACCAGTGCCACGATGGGTCAGCTATACCAGGTATGGTGCCTGGGAAGTAGTGGAGGCTTTGGAGAGGAGTTGGAAGCGCTTGAGAGGCAAAAAGTTTTAAGTTGGCAATTCTTGGACTAAACTGGTTTACTTACCTCTCAATTTTATATTTGCTCTTAAAATTTCCACATAGTCGTGGGTTGGGGATTTGGATAGGGCCGTGGGAGTAGAAAGAAGAGAGAATAGTGAGCTGGAGCAACTGTTGTGATCCAGACTCTCCCCAGGCCCCTCCCTGTTCCAAGGCAGCAGAGAACAGTTTGAGGTCTTTTTGCCCAAGACTGTTGGCTAGAATAATACTGTTCAGCGTCTAGGGCCTGGAGCAAGTGAGAGGGAGAGTCAAAAAGAATGATTTTGGAAAATCTGTCTCGGTGGTGGGTGGTTCAAGTAACTAAGGCCCAGTTGCCTGAACACTGTTACTTTCTGCTTTCACCCCAGGAACACCATGAAGAAGACTTCTTTCTATACATTGCCTACAGTGACGAAAGTGTGTATGGTCTGTGAAGCTGCTGTTCCTAAGGTGGGGGGTCCCATTCTACAAAGAGAGAGGTGGCCCCCCTTCCTTGACCTGCTCCTCCTTGAGGGTCAAACACCACCTCCCTTTTTCAGGACCTGCATTTCCTAATGTTTGAGACTCTTTTTCAGCCCCTTTAAACACAAGAGTTAATGTGGGAGATGGCCTCTAGTACCCACTCTTTCTCCATTCTTCCCTTTTACCACCTTTCCCATTCTGCTTTAGACTTCTTGACTGTCAAATCTGTGTCACATGTGGTGATTGTTTTGGTTTCTGTTCCCTTTCTAACTGCCCAAGGGGCTCAGAACCCCAACAATCCCTTTTCACTACCTTCTTTTTTGGGGGTAGATGGAAGGGACTGAAATTGTGGGGGGAAGGTAGGAGGCACATCAATAAAGAGAAAACCACCAAACTGAACTGGATTTTTCTTTGTGTTGCTCCCCTCCCCCTTTTGTTCTCCCTCGTCAGTGGTGGGGAAAGAGGAGGTTGGAGGGATAGTAGTATATTTTGGTTTGTTTTTATGTTGGGCTTTTCCTTGTGCATAAAAAGTGTGCTTTTGTTGTGATGGATGGAATACTGAGTATCATTTCATGAAAGTTCAGTTTTATATACGTGTGTATGGATTGGGTCCTGAGGTTATAAAAAAAATTTTTTTTTTTACTGTGGGTTCTGTGGAAGTTTGAAAGCACCTGCTTTAGATAAACCATCCAAGTTTGTCATAACCTTTTGGGTGAAGGAGATTTTCGAGTGTGGGAGCTAGTAAAAGGACACTGTCCTCAGATGCATGTCGCTTAGACAGACTTTGTGCCGGCGTGAGGGATCCAGTGGAGTGTAATCCAGGAGAGGGAGAACACGGGGAGGAGGGAGCCATTATCACCGGGAGAACTTCATCTCCCAGCAGCCTTTTCTCTGTCTGGCCGGAAGTGGGGCGGTCCCCCGTGGGTAGAAAGAAGCCGCAGAATGAGGCAGTATGGTGGCCGAAAGTTCTAATGCCTTCTTTCCCTTCATCCCCTTCTTTCTTAGCCCCGCCCAGCCTACATTTCCCAGGAGCCTGAGCGCACTCTTCCCCTCTCCCCTCTGCTCCCAATCTCCCCGCCACTCCCCGGGGGAGGAGAGCGGTTTAGTGCGCCTGCACCAATCCGTGGCTTGCTGGGAACTGAAGTTCCGGAGGCTTATGCAGTGTCCTTTTTGCTGCCCCCGGACGGACTATAATCCCCTTGATGCATTGCGCGTTAGCGCCCGCGAAGGGAGGGGGAGAGAGGAGGAGGGAGGGAGGAAAGAAGGAGGAGGGAGCAGGCGGCCGGCGGCGCGGGGGGAGGGGGCCCGGTCCGGGAGTGCGGGAGGCAGTGGTAGAGGGAGGTGGCGGCAGCAGCTAGTGGACTCGAGTCACAACCGAGTCGAAGCAGACACCTCCGTGGAGCGAGGCAGTAGGAGCACCGAGCACCGGAGGCGGCACCGGGATCCCCGGCTCAGGGGAGGGGGGCGCCGGACCGGGAGGAGGGGAGGGGGCGATGCTGGAAGCCATGGCGGAGCCCAGTCCCGAAGGTGAGCTCTCGACCGGTACAGAGCGCTTAGCCGGCGGGGGGCGGGCGAGGAATCTATTGGCAAACTTGGAGGTCGAGCCCCGGAGCCCAGCGGGGG